CCCAAAGCAGCACACTGGAAGAGGCTCCAACCCTGCAGAACTTACCAAAACACTGGTTGCCCCATTGGCCAGCGGCCCGTAGGTGAGGTAGGAGTGCCCAGTTATCCAGCCGATGTCGGCCGTGCACCAGTACACGTCCTCAGGATGGTGATCAAACACGTACTTAAAAGTGGCAGCAGTGAAAATCATGTATCCACCCACCGTGTGCACGACGCCCTGCAACGAGAACACGGGCTCAGCCACCAGCGCCGCGCAGCCGGAGACGCCGCCGGGCACTCGGTACTCCGCAGCGGGCTCCAGAGCGCAAGTGCCAGGCGGGCCCCGTTCCCATGGTCCGTGGGCTGGTGACCAGGCGGGACTGGCCTGGCCAGGCGCTGGCCCCCCGCCCGAAACTTGGGCTCCCCCCGCTCGTCTTCCGCGTCGCACCACTCCGGCTCGCACTCCTTGCTGGCGTCCTTTACGAGCTCGTGCCACCACCGGTCCACGCCCGCATCCCAGGGAGTCTGCAGGACAGGGGAGAGGGACAGTCAAAGGCCTCCTCGCCCCTCCCGTCTGCCCCCGCGCTCAGAGTTCGGGTGGGGGCCGAGACGACGGAGACACGTGAGACGAGTCGGGCAAGTCGCAAAGGGGCGGAGAAAGCCAACAGACATTTTATTTCCCCTGCCCACGAGAGCCACCGGTCCACGCCCGCATCCCAGGGAGTCTGCAGGACAGGGGAGAGGGACAGTCAAAGGCCTCCTCGCCCCTCCCGTCTGCCCCCGCGCTCAGAGTTCGGGTGGGGGCCGAGACGACGGAGACACGTGAGACGAGTCGGGCAAGTCGCAAAGGGGCGGAGAAAGCCAACAGACATTTTATTTCCCCTGCCCACGAGAGCCAGGGCTTGGCTGGTAAGATCAGCAGGCACCCGGCCCACCTTGCACCCCTCAGCCTGCGGAGCCCGAGGCCAGGGACACGGGGAAGCCCAAAGAAGAAGGATTGTCCAAAGAGAACCGGAGATGTTGCTGCTGGCCAGGATGGTCAGGGATGTCTCGTGGGCGCTGGGGGGCTCCCTCGGGGCCCCTGGCCCCAGCCGCTGGCAGCAGACTGGATCCTGGGCTGCACGGACACTGCTCTGCCCCAGCCTGGCCGCTAAGCCGGGCATGCTACAGAGAGGAGCTGCTGGCCCTGGGTGGGATGTGGGTCGCCCATTCCTCCAGAGGCCTCTGCCCTCCTGGCGCCCCTCGCTTCACAGCCACACGGCGCCACCCAGCCCTGCGGCGCCGTGCAGCACGCGACCCGAGCACCCTGCAAGGCAGAGCAGAGGGCTCCGGACAGCACCTCCGTTCTGGCTTCAGGGCCATTTTTAGCAGCTTCCTCGGTTTGTCCACCCCCTGCTCTAGGGGCCTGTGGTACAGCCGAACCGGTCCTACCGGCTAAGGGAAGGGACGGGACAAAAGGGAGTGTTGGGGGAAGGGGCTGTTGCTGGCTGGGAAACATGGAGGGAACTGCCTGGGCTGAGGGGCTAGGGGTGATGCACCCCACCCCAAGGGGCTGAGACACCCTGGCCCTGACTCCTGTGGCCACCTCACGTCTGTGCTGGGCTGTGTCCTGGAGAAGCAGGAACCCCCCGTTCTACTGGCTGGCGAGTCTGTTCTGGCTGCTCCGGGGGTGCAGGATCGGGGGGACCCCGACGCGCCGTCACCCTGCCCCTCCTGGCCCTGACTCCTGTGGCCACCTCACGTCTGTGCTGGGCTGTGTCCTGGAGAAGCAGGAACCCCCCGTTCTACTGGCTGGCGAGTCTGTTCTGGCTGCTCCGGGGGTGCAGGATCGGGGGGGACCCTGACACACAGTTACAGGCGCGCTCCAGGTGTCGCTGAGGGCGGGGGGGGATGGGGTAC